TCAAACTGCGGCCCACAGGCCACAGGTGGCCCGCCTAGAACATTTATCCAGCCCACCAGGTGTTTTTGCCGCTGCTGCCTGTCCTGCTTAGCAGCCGACTCGTCCCAGGGCCCACAGTCCGGCCCTCCCAATGGTCTGAGGACAGTGAACTGGCCCTCTGTTTAAAAAGTTTGAGGATCCCTGTGTCTAGACACATACATTTTAACTCCTCATCCCATCCCGAAAAAAAAATACCATCTAGGGGGAAAACTGATGCTTCACTAGATCAATTCTTGACTTAACACTCTTGGCAAACTATACTTATTCTTTTTTTTGGAGACAGAGTCTCACTTTGTCACCCTTGGTAGAGTGCTATGGTATCATAGCTCACAGTAACCTCAAACTCTTTGGGCTCAAGCAATTCTCTTGTCTTAGCTTCCCAAGTAGCTGGGACTACAGGCATCTGCCATAACGCCAGGCTGTTTTTTGATGAGATCTCACTCTGGCTCAGGCTGGTCTCAAACCTGTGTATTCAGGCAATACACCCACCTCATCCTGCCAGAGTGCTAGGATTAGAGATGTGAGCCACTGCACCTGGGCCACACAACTCCTATTCTTTTGTTATTGCAGTTCAGCTGGGGCCATGTTTGAACCTGCCACCCTCAGCATATAGGGCTGGCGCCCTACTCACTGAGCCATAGGCGCCGCCCTACAACTCATTCTATTCTTTGGGGCATTTAACTGTTTTCTGATTTTGTAACACATATGTGTTTGATTTGTGTGTGTGTGTGTGTGTGTGTGAGACAGAGTCTAGCTGTCACCCTGGGTAGAGTGTTACGGCATCATAGCTCACAGCAACCTCCAGCCCTTGGGCTCAAGAGATCCTCTTGCCTCAGTTTTTCTAGTTTTAGTAGAGATGGAGTCTCACTTTTTGCTCAGGTTGGTCTCAAACCCGGGAGCTCAAGCTATCCATCTGCCTTGGCCTCCCAGAGTGCTAGGATTACAGGTGTGAGCCACTGCGCCTGACCTGTGTCTTTGATTTTAAATATTTTCTTCTGTGCTCACTTCAGCAGCATATAAACTAAAACTAAAATTGGAATAATATAGAGAGGATTAGTATGCCCTCTGTGCATGGATGACAGGCAAATTCATGATGCGTTCCATTTTTGTGTGTGTATATACTTTAATGCAATTGCAGACATCTGTGCCTAGCAATATTTCTAGTTGACCAAATATTCTAATCTTTTTTCACTTATTTGCAAAAGAAATACTTTTGGCTTGGCACCTGTAGCACAGTGGTTATGGCGCCAGCCACATACCCCAGGCTGGCAGGTTCGAACCCGGCCTGGTCCAGCTAAACAACAATGACAACTGCAACAAAAAAATAGCCAGGCGTTGTGGCAAGCGCTTGTAGTCCCAGCTACTTGGGAGGCTGAGGCAAGAGAATCACTTAAGCCCAAGAGTTTGAGGTTGCTGTGAGCTGTGATGCCACAGCATTCTACCAAGGGTGACATAGTGAGACTCTGTCCCAAAAAAAAAAAGTTTTAAGTAGCTTTTTATAGCAAGATGATACAATGGGTGTAATCTAAATTTCCTTCTCATGGTATTACCTTGTATACTGTACTTTTTTTGTTCCTTTTAATTGAGTCACAGGCAGGATCCAAAGCAGGTAGAGCTAGGGTAGGGCCAGTCGTGAAGCATAAGGAGCCCCCAGCCCTTCTTATCAAACCCAAAGCTTAAGGGAAGGGGTACTGGCCTTGACCTGCCTCTGCCTCCTCTGCCTAACCTCGAGTTACCTTATTACACCTTCACTTGTAATCCACTTAGGAAAACAAGCTCTCTGAAACTTTTTAAGGATTATTTTTTCTTCAAAGTTTGGACCAAAGTTTTGTTTTTTCTCTGCTTCTGATGATGACACCCAGATGGTGGGACAAAAGTCCTGTTATTTTTCCCTCCAGCCCCTCTGTAGGGACATGCTGGGGAGGGGTTATCTCCTTGGATCCCTGAGTTTCCTTCCATAAAGCAGTGTATCAATGGTACAGATATTTATAAGGGTTATACCTGTTGTAAGACATGAGGGGCAGCAACAGGCAGTTTTTTATGGTGACATAAATGTATAGTTTTGTTTTGTTTGAGATAGTCTCACTTTGTCACCCTTGGTAGAGTGCTGTGTCATCACAGCAACCTCAAACTCTTGGGCTGCTTAAGCGATTCTCTTGCCTCAACCTCCTGAGTAGCTGGGATTACAGGCACCCACCACACCACCTGGCTATTTTTTCATTGTTACAGTTGTCATTGTTTGGCAGCCCCAGGCCAGGTTCCAACCCACCAGCCCTGGTGTATGTGGCCGGCACCCTAGCCGCTGAGCTATAGGGGCCCAGCCATAAATGTATATTTTGATAACTGATCACAATTCTAGGCTTAGTATTATAACAGGGAATAGCAAACAGTGACCACAAGCACATTCCCATCCTGGATGGCTTGTAAAGCAGAAAGAACTCAGTTAAAATGATTTTATAGGCCGTATGCAATGGCTCATGCCTATAATCCTAGCACTCTGGGAAGCCAACCAGCTTGAGCAAGGGTGAAATACTGTCTCTGGGTGTTTTGGCAGGTACCCGCAGTCCCAGCTACTTGGTAGGCTGAGGCAAGAGGACTGCTTCAGCCCAAGAGTTTGAGGTTGCTGTGAGCTATGATGCCACTGCCCCTCTATCCAGGGCAACAGAGTGAAAGTCGCTCAGAAAAAAAAAAAA